AAAGAAGCAAGGTGAGAAGACATCTTCAATGTTCAGTGAGGCTCAGACTGACTTAACACAAGCAGATCAATGTGGAAAATTACAAATGTACAGGAAAGCAGAGAAAGAGTATTGAACCCACCACCTGCAGCTGGCCATGATGGCCAGTCTGGTTTCATTCATTACCCCGGGCCCATGTCCCTCCCTCCTGGATTACTCGGAAGGCAATCCCAGATACCAGGCCATGCTGACCCCACACTTACTCTCAACAGGTCCTCACTGCCCACCAGGTCACCAGAGCCAGAGCCAATGTCCGAGCCCCAGCCCAGGCCAGAGCCCTCAGTCTCCTGGAAAAAGAAGAAAGTTCTGCAACTGGCATTCAACTGCCAGTCTCCAAGGACAGCCATGCCACCAAATTCTGCACAGCCGTGTCCCCATATTCTGCTACCCTGCAATGTCTATTCCCATCGGTCCTCTGGCCTTTCTCCCACTCGTTTCAACAATATCCCCACCTTGCAACCTCCAAGCTGTGCAGCCAGTGCATGACCAGCCCTCAGCCTCCTTTCCTGTCTTTCAAGTCCCTACTTATCCTCAGCTCTGCAGTCACTTCCTCCATGAAGCCTTCTCCATCCCACTTTTGAGAGGGTTCTCTGTCATCTCTCTGGCCTCTGTCAAGCTCTTGGGGCACTTGATCAAGAGCCAGTGTGGTCTGATCACAGCACAAACCTTTTCTCCTTTGGGCCCAGCCTGTCCTTTCATCCCCATGTGTACACTTTGAGCCTAGAAAAGAAAAGAACAGAAAAGAAGAAATATAGTTACAACTTGGTCACAATGCCTTTGGGACATGGAGCTACCGAACTCTGTCACATTTCCTGCTGCTGGTTAGTGAGCCGGGAATAAGCAGGGGGCTTGCTCTGGGCTGGAACTGTGGTGTCCCCTGCACCTGGCAGATAAAAGGCTCCCAGCATCTACTTGCTAATGACTAGTGGGATGACCACAGCACGTGGAGCCACCCACGTGGCTTTTACTAGAGCTCCAATCTTCTCTTTTACAACACAGATGTTAAAATACATGATTTAATCTTAAGAGCGATGTTCTCCATATGAGATTCTCACTAAAAGATCCTAATACATATGGTCAGTCCTTAGAAATGGAATGACTTCATTTTGACTGCTGTGGGTTTTGCTAACCAACTCCTGGCTCATATCTGGAGATGGTGGTTATGGTGGTTTCGCAAAAAAGCAAGGCAGAGGGGCCAGCAGGTAGCATGGAGGTTAAGATGTCTGGATCCCAGATTGGCTGACTCTATGATTCGAGTACTGGACTGGTAGCTTGAGAAATGTGCTGGGTACGTAGGCCTGCATGCCCAAAATTCTGAGAGGAGACTAGAGGAGAAAGAATTATGGTATGGCCATCCCCCCGGAGGGGTGATTTCTCATTTTCTCTTTCTCTCCCTGCTGAGTGCACATGCTCTATAGCAAAATAAAAAAAAAAAAAAAAAAAAAAAAAAAAAAAAAAACTAAAACACCACTAAGGCAGAAAGTCCACTGACCAAGTGACCAAGGCGCTCACCTCTACTTGAACCCCAGAGCTGTGTGTGACCTTGAGCAAATCTCAAACCCTCTCTGAGCCTCATCTGCAAAATAATTGTATATAGATAATTGAGTGTGTATTATGTGTAAAGTATTCCATGTGTTAACTCATTCGAACCTCACGACAGATCAAGAGGTAGGCACTATGATTATGATCCTCAGTTCACGCACGAGTGAACAGGGACAGAGAGATGAAGAATTTGGCCTCAGATGTGTGGCAGAGCCAGGTTTGCTGCCTCGGCTAGCCCATAAGCTTCACTGTCATGAGTGACTCTAGAGTCAAATGATTCTAAAGACATTCTACAGTGGATGCTCTCTTGATGACCCTCCCTGTCCTGTTTAACTGTCTGCTCAGGAACTGGGGCATCCAGTTCTGTTCATTGCAAATTCTATTTTTTTTTAAAGGTTTTTGCCATAAGGTTCATGCACTCACTGGAGAGAGACAGTGAGAAGAAAAGTGAGAAATCACTCCCCGGGGGGATGGTCACACTGCAATCCTTTCTCCTTGATTCTCCCAGGATTTGGGGCATGCACTCACAGGTTTGGCATAATTTTCAGGCCACCAGGTCTGGGACTTGAACCATGGTACACCACATGAGAGTCCAACACCTTAACCAGCACACTACCTGCTGGCCCCTTACTGTAGGTTCTTGAGAGGGCACTTAGCAGTGATCTATCTGCATCAGTTATGCACCAAGGTGAAATACCTACGTTCCTTTCTCCCTTTCTCTCCCTCTTTTTTTCTCCCTTGCCCTCTCTTTCACTTCTTTTCTTTTTAGAGAGAGATTTTTGCTATAGGGCACATGCACTCAATGGAGAGAAAGACAGAAAGCGAGAAATCACCCTTCAGGGAGGATGGCCACAATGCAATCCCTTCTCCATTCTCCTCTTGGAATTTTGGGCACACACAGAGATGCCTAGTGTGAGTTTCAAGCCACCAGGTTCAGGACTCGAACTGCGGTCAACTATGTGGGTGGGAGTCCAGCAACATAACCATTACAGCATATGCTGGTCTCTTCCTTTCACTTCTTACAGCCCTTAAAATAATCTGTTGTGAAAATCATAAACCACTATCATGGAAATAGTCACAATGTCTTAAGAATTTATGAGTATGGTGGCATGTGCTTGTAACTCCAGGAACCCAGGAGGCTGAGGTAGGTAGGAGAATTACAAGTTCAAAGCTAATCTCAGAATCTACTGAGACCCTGTCTCTGGAAACAAAAGCAAAAGACAAAAACAAACAAACCTAACCACCACCCATAGCTCCACCACTTACAAGCAACAACTGCATTTACAGAGGGTATTTCCTTCTAGTATGTGTGTATTTTTAAATAGTTTACACCACACAATATACTTACTGCTTTATAATCAGCTTTTTCACTTAGCATTATAATGGTAGGCTTTTCCTCTCACCATTAACTACTTCTACTAAGTATCATTTTAATAGCTGCATAATGTTCCATTATTTGAAGATACTTTAATTCAATTTATTCTCTATTGTTGATTAATTAAATAATATAATTTTTTTCTCTGGACAATAGTGAGATTAACATCCTCATGAACAAAGCCTTTGTAACATATCAAACTCTCTCTGTTAGGATTGACTCCTAGGACGAAGTTCCTGGGCCAACACTGTGCGGTTTTATGGTTTTGGATCTACATGGACAAAGAGTTTCCCAGAAGCAGCAAGTCCTCACCACTCCCACCGGCACAACTGGTCTCACTAGGTCGACTTCTCAAAGCAGAAAACATACAGGATCTAAGGACAGCTGACCCAGTTTCTTCAACAAATCAATGACAAAAAAGGATAAAGGAGGAGAATGAGAGATTTAAAGAAATCAAGAGGCATAGAGACCAAATGCAATGTGTAGATATTCTCTGGATTCAGATCAAGCACTCTAATTATAAAAAATCACTAAAAACAACCAACCAACCAACCAGAATATTAGATAATATAAAGGAACTACTGTTAATTTTGTTAGCAGGATAATGAAATCATGGCTCTGACAACAATGAAAGGTCCCAACTCAATCTATGCTGGGACTTCAAAGTGTCCCTAGAAAAATGGAGTTGAATGATAAGTTTATTTTGTTGCAAAAAATACTTCTGAAATCTGTGCATAATTTTCTTCATAATATACATTTTCCATAAACGTTTTGGAGACCTCTTGTATTAACAGCACACATGAAATTAAGTCAAATGATACACATTAAGTGATACGATGTTTGGGGTTTGTTTTTAAATACTTTTACAGATCTCCCTTTCCCTCCAAAGAAAAAGGTGGTGGTGGGGAAGTAGGACAGATAAAGCAAGTTGGGCAAAATGTCGATAATTGTTCTAGCTGAGTGACGGGCATATGAGGGTTAAGCCCTTTCAAGAATGTTTTAGGTTTTCCTTAATAAGATGTTTGAAAAAAGACTGGTTCTATCCTTGCCTGACGTGGTGTCACCCAGAGGGGCGAAGGTCTTGGTTTTTGCGTATTCCTTGGGGTGGGAAGCAGAGAAGCAGGAGCCCCTGTTGAGGAAGTCACAGCCTGTGAGCCAGGCCCAACAATGGGACGCTGGGCTGGTCTAGCACTGGACTCTTTAAGCTTTTACAACTATACTATTTAAGCTTCCTGGGTGTGCCTTTTTTGTTTTAAATAATTGTTTATTTAATTTTATTTATCATTATTATTATTGTAATTTGTTGCAGGGCATGTGCACTCACTAGAAAGAGACAGAAACAGAGAAAGAGAAAGCTAATCTCAGAATCTACTGAGACCCTGTCTCTGGAAACAAAAGCAAAAGACAAAAACAAACAAACAAACAAACAAACAAACCTAACCACCACCCACAGCTCCACCACTTACAAGCAACAACTGCATTTACAGAGGGTATTTCCTTCTAGTATGTGTGTATTTTTAAATAGTTTACACCACACAATATACTTACTGCTTTATAATCAGCTTTTTCACTTAGCATTATAATGGTAGGCTTTTCCTCTCACCATTAACTACTTCTACTAAGTATCATTTTAATAGCTGCATAATGTTCCATTATTTGAAGATACTTTAATTCAATTTATTCTCTATTGTTGATTAATTAAATAATATAATTTTTTTCTCTGGACAATAGTGAGATTAACATCCTCATGAACAAAGCCTTTGTAACATATCAAACTCTCTCTGTTAGGATTGACTCCTAGGACGAAGTTCCTGGGCCAACACTGTGCGGTTTTATGGTTTTGGATCTACATGGACAAAGAGTTTCCCAGAAGCAGCAAGTCCTCACCACTCCCACCGGCACAACTGGTCTCACTAGGTCGACTTCTCAAAGCAGAAAACATACAGGATCTAAGGACAGCTGACCCAGTTTCTTCAACAAATCAATGACAAAAAAGGATAAAGGAGGAGAATGAGAGATTTAAAGAAATCAAGAGGCATAGAGACCAAATGCAATGTGTAGATATTCTCTGGATTCAGATCAAGCACTCTAATTATAAAAAATCACTAAAAACAACCAACCAACCAACCAGAATATTAGATAATATAAAGGAACTACTGTTAATTTTGTTAGCAGGATAATGAAATCATGGCTCTGACAACAATGAAAGGTCCCAACTCAATCTATGCTGGGACTTCAAAGTGTCCCTAGAAAAATGGAGTTGAATGATAAGTTTATTTTGTTGCAAAAAATACTTCTGAAATCTGTGCATAATTTTCTTCATAATATACATTTTCCATAAACGTTTTGGAGACCTCTTGTATTAACAGCACACATGAAATTAAGTCAAATGATACACATTAAGTGATACGATGTTTGGGGTTTGTTTTTAAATACTTTTACAGATCTCCCTTTCCCTCCAAAGAAAAAGGTGGTGGTGGGGAAGTAGGACAGATAAAGCAAGTTGGGCAAAATGTCGATAATTGTTCTAGCTGAGTGACGGGCATATGAGGGTTAAGCCCTTTCAAGAATGTTTTAGGTTTTCCTTAATAAGATGTTTGAAAAAAGACTGGTTCTATCCTTGCCTGACGTGGTGTCACCCAGAGGGGCGAAGGTCTTGGTTTTTGCGTATTCCTTGGGGTGGGAAGCAGAGAAGCAGGAGCCCCTGTTGAGGAAGTCACAGCCTGTGAGCCAGGCCCAACAGAAGCCCTGGGAGCCTGGAGCCCCCGCTCCAATGGGACACTGGGCTGGTCTAGCACTGGACTCTTTAAGCTTTTACAACTATACTATTTAAGCTTCCTGGGTGTGCCTTTTTTGTTTTAAATAATTGTTTATTTAATTTTATTTATCATTATTATTATTGTAATTTGTTGCAGGGCATGTGCACTCACTAGAAAGAGACAGAAACAGAGAAAGAGAAAGTGAGAAAGCAAGCTGCCAGGTCCAGTACCCGAACCATGGTTGGCCATGTGCGAGTCAGTGCCTTAACCACCACACCACCTGCTGCACTCCCCATCCCCGGGTATTTCTAATGTGCAACCAGGGTTAAAATCCGGAGTTCTTCACCTTTCTCCTTTATAGATGATGACACGGAGGCTAGACCCCAGCACAAGTCAGTGGCATCCAGGAAGCAGAACCTCAACCTCCTGGTCTACCCACCACACCACTCTCTCAGGGATGAGAACATCAGTTGGTGAAGCTCAAGAGCAGGAGCTCTGCAGCCAGCCTCCTGAGTTCAGATCCCAGCTCTGCCTCTTACAAGCCTGCAACGTGGGGAAGTGCCTTCACCTCTCAGATCTCACTTCCCTCGCTTGAACTGGAGATCATTCAGCTCATACCACAATGTGGTGGTGTGGACAGAATCAGATACACCTGGAACACACACACTTAATCAATGGCAGTCCCTGTCCCTGACCATGAATTCTATGAGATCAGGAGCGAGGTCCTATCTCTACCTCCAAGGGTCTGGACTGAGGGCCCAGGGTTGCCATGTGTTTTCAGTCAATGAATGAGGGAGGACAACTCTAAATAGACAGTGAGTAGCGTGATAACCAGCAGGTCTCTGGAAGCGGCTTTGGGCAAGCGGCACTCATGGTTCCCAGCAGACTCTGTTCTCACCGTGCAGGTCAGTCCTGGAGTGCTGTGGCCTAGGGACCACATGACTGTAGCTTGAGTCATGGTTTTCAAAGTGCACGTGACCAAGTGTCACTTGAGGAACTGATCAAGCTAGATATTTTCTTCTAAAACTACATTCACATTTGAAAAGCCACTGTATCTCCTGCTTCACACAAGCCCAAGCAAGGCAGTGAGGGGGTGGTGATGGGGTGTGGGTCTAACTTTTCTTTCCTTTTTTTTTTAATTGCCATAGAGTGTACATGTTCACCAGAGAGACAGAGAGAGCAAAAGTGAGAAATCGCACCCCCACCCCCCCCACCAGGGGAATGGCCATTGCTACAATCCCCTTTCCTCTACTCTCCTCCTGGGATTTTAGGCACACATACACACACAACCGGTGTGATTTTCAAGCCACAGGGCCAGGAATTAAACCACACTCCTACACCATGTGGGAGTCCAGCACCTTAACTACCATGTCACCTGGTAGCCTCCTGGCTTTCCTATTTCTAAAAGACAAAGTTATACAGGGCCTGCAGGTGATGCGGTGGTTAAGGTGCTGGACTCCCACATGGCTGACTGCAGTTCGAATCTCAGACTTGATGACTTGCTTTTTCACTCCCCTCACCTCTCTCTTTGGTCAAATAAAAATAAAAATAATTAATAAATAAAAGTAAACAAATAATTTTTTTAAAAGACAAAGTTATAGCTAGCCCTTCAGTGGCAACAATCTCCTGTGTGTGTACAGAGCTTTCCAAACATTTTCAGACTTGACCTCACAGTTACCCTAGCACAGGTAAGGAAGTTGAGGTCTGGAGAAGTTATAGGATTTGATCAAGGCCACAGTTTCAAGGTCACACGGATTATAGAGACTTGTGTCGGAAGGGACTCAGAGGTCACCCCACATGCTCCTTTCATGCTCGCTCATGGCCCCAGCTAAGTCTGTAGTCAGCATCTCCATCTACAGAAGCTCTGCTGGTGAGAAAGATCCCACTTCAATTAACCAGGGCAGTCTGGGACACGAAGCTGGGTCCTCTCGGGTTTTGCCTCTTGGTTCTCCGTCTGCAAACTTCAGTTTCCTCAAATATTCTCCAGAAGGTCCCCAAATGCCCAAATGTGTGAACCAAATGGAAAACTGACCTCTAAGTAAACCAGGGGCAGGCCTTACCACACCCCAGCCTTTCCTTATCTCGCCTATAAGAGCTGCCATGTCAAATCTTTGTGCCTCTACGTCACTTACCAGAGTGACCACTCTCTCGGGTGCTGCCGTGGGTATGGGAAGCGGTGGGCCCTCTGGGGGGGCACTGCTGGGCTCTTCACCCCCACCTGAGGTCAGGAGCCCCTCTGTTGTGGCTGCTGTCAACTCTTCATCACCAGATACCTGACAACAAAGCCAATGAGAGAAACCATGCCATCCCATCACAACACAGCATGTGCCAGGCTGCCAAGGAGTCACATGACCATCAGTTCTCCGATGCTGGCCTGATTTTAAAACCTTAGGTACAACCAGCTTTACCCCAAAGCATTCGCAGAAGCACAGACCACATAGCCACTCCTGCCTGTGGGCCAGTCATCCCTCAGACAGCTCTTCCTGAGCAAGCCAGGGGCAGCCCGAGTCCTGTGCCATGCTCCGGCCAATGCACCCCCAGGAGTCACATGACCATCAGTTCTCCGATGCTGGCCTGATTTTAAAACCTTAGGTACAACCAGCTTTACCCCAAAGCATTCGCAGAAGCACAGACCACATAGCCACTCCTGCCTGTGGGCCAGTCATCCCTCAGACAGCTCTTCCTGAGCAAGCCAGGGGCAGCCCGAGTCCTGTGCCATGCTCCGGCCAATGCACCCCCCCTCCCTGCCCAGGGGCAGCCCGAGTCCTGTGCCATGCTCCTTCCAATGCACCCCGACCTCCCTGCAGTGGCTCTACCCAGATGTGGGCTCACGACGAAGCAGAAGCAGAACGTGTGCAAAGGTGGTAACTGCGCCTGCCCCCCAGTGCTGATCTCTCCCCACTGTGAGCCAGAGAGGTGCGAGATGACACTTACAGAAGTGACTTCTTGCACAGGGGCCCCTGTGGGTGTGAGGAAAGCCAGGCCATCTGTGGGGACCCCGCTGCTCTCTTCCTCCTGCAAGTTGCTGAGGGACACATCTGATGGAGCTGCAGATGTTGCTAAACTTTCTTCACCATTCGGATCCTGAAAGAAAATTGGCATGAGGGACCCTGCCAGGGCTCATGCCCCTGGTTCAGGGGTGTGTGTGGTTGCAGGGAGGAAGCCACTGGGGCATCAGATAACTGCCAATGTTCACACAGGACCACGCCTTAGCCCACAGCTTCCTGGAGCTCCAGGGCAAGGATTCCAAGGACTTCTCTGGCTTCAGCTTGGCCGCCTCTAGTAACTGGGATCTCACCACCTCCACGGCAGTCCTTCTGCTTTCGGACGGCTCTGCTGGTCAAGTTCTAGTTTCTATTAAGCTAAGACTAGCAGAACTGGGACCTGATCCCCATTTTTCTGAACCGGTGGTACATGCTTTGCCTTTATGGGAATGAGGTGGGGGAGAAGAGGAGGAGGGAGGAGGAGAGAAAAAGGGAAAGGGAAGTGGAAGGCGACCACATTGTTCATTGAAATCATCTCTGGAGCTGACTGCTACCTGGCCTGGCAACTGATCAACATATGTCCTTCTGCCATGAAGTTTCCTCTCATGGCAGACACAGGGGAAGGCTGCGTGGCCTGCTTTAGACAGATGGGGAGACCAAGTGTATGGAATCACCTCAAAGGTCAGAGCTGTTGATCTGTATTCAACGACCTGGTGACCCCATCATTCATTCACTCAGTAAACACTCATTCAGTGTCTACCATTCATCAGGACTGAAGTGACGTCATCCTTTGGTATCCAAGGGGGATTGGTTCCAGGACCCGCGTGATACCCAAATCCACAGACGCTCAGTCGGTTATATAAAACAGCAGTATCTGCATACAGCCTACTCACACCCTTCTGTAAAATGGATTTTCTAAGCAAAAATGTATCATGCAAAAAATTATCTCTTTTTTTTAATTCTTTTTTTTTGGGGGGGGCGGTTACGCTATAGGGCGCGTGCGCTCGTCAGACAGACAGAGAGAGACATAGAGACAGAAAGCGAGAAATCCCCCCCCAGGGGGGATGGTCACACCGCAATCCCTTCTCCTCCCTCCTCCTCTCGGGATCTTGGGCATGCATGCACACGCACCCGGCGTGAGTTTTTAGCCACTGGGTCCGGGACACGAACCGCAGTCGACTACATGGGAGTCCAGCGACATAGCCATTACGCTAACTACTGGTTCCCGCAAAAAATAATTTCTTGATAATAATTCCTAATGCCATGTAAATACTATGTGAATTGTTGTCATACTATATATTTTTTTTGTTTGCTTGAATTAGTTTGTTGATGCATTGTTATCATTTTTTCAAATATTTTCAGTCTGGTTGGTTGACTAAGGATATGGAACCTGGGAGGACAGGAAGGCCAACTGGGTATACATACCTTGTCACTAAGCCCAACATGAACTATCTACCAAGTTTATTACCAGTTACATTTATGGTGAGGCGTTCCAAGGACAAGTATGGGGAGACTGCAGTCTGGAACCTCCTCCTTCTCGAGGAGGCAGTGCTGGAGCTGAGCACCGAAGGATAAGTGAGAATTTAAGGGAGGAGAGGAAGGAGAAAAGGTTCTCTGAAGACAGGAGAAGCTATGGGGAGAAGGTAAGGCAAACAAGAAATTCAAAGAAACCGAAGGTCAGTGAGACTGGCTGACCGAGGGTGAGAGACGGGGTCCAGAATGTGCTCAGTTGAGCTGACCAGGCCAGACCCGGCAAGGCTGATCAGGCCAAAGGGGAACTGGATCTGCAGGAAAGGAAATGGGGAGCTTCCAGAAGAGGGCTGACACACCAGAGATGAGTCATGAGAAAGAGTGGGGGAGGCTGGGCAGAGCCCATGGCAAGCCCCTGGGCTGGAGACATGGGGGCTTAGTACAGGGGACAGGTGCTGGGGACAGCAGAAGGTGATTCCACAGTGCGTTTAGGTAGAAAAATCAACCAGACCTTATGCTTGGTGAAATGTGGGGGTAAGGAAGGGGAAGAGAACTTGAGTTAGGCAACTGGGGCTGATGGTCCCATTCATTTGAGGTAGGGACCCAATAGCAGAAGGAACGAACAGTGGGTTTGAATCTGCTAAACTGGAAAAATTTGAGGGCACTGTGAAGGGGACACATAGGGACAGGCCTGCAGGCCTTGGAATGCTGTGTCCTGCCTTCAGAAGTTGGAGACGTGTCTGTGCTCCGTCAGGGAAGGCTGAGAAGGCCCAGCCATGCCCTTGGGCCCCTCCAGGGGCCTCCCTGCACTTGACCCGTACTGCCCCTGGACAGCCTGCAGTGACATCACCACCTCCTCCACCCAGAGCCCAGCCCCATGTTCTGGCTTCTGGACCCCACTGTGGTGGAGCAGGACCCTGGAAGCGGCCCTGAACTCCCTGCCACCTCTCTGCCCCAGGACCCGGCCTCCCGCGGGCCCAGGCCCAGGCCCTACTCCACCCCCAGTGTGTATTTAAGCCTCCCTACTCGGGCTCTTCTGAATTTTCTCAGCAGAATGAAGACCCCCACCCTGAGAAGACCAGTGGCCACTTCCTGCCATGACCTCAATTCCCAGCACTTTCTGTTCCTTACTAGAGTGGATTCTTCTTCGGGGTTCTGGGTGAACAAGGCGAGGGCTGGCCCCTCCGTGAATCCACTGCCAGCCTCTTCTTCCTCAGCAGGGGTGACGGGCACCTCGGCTTCCCCTGCTGCTGTTATTGCTAAACCTTCTTCGTTATCGGGACCCTGGATAGAAAGACATCGGCGGTGCTTAGGCCACCATGTGGAGACAGACACCCAAGGGCTTTCTGGTGAAGGGAGCCATCTGCCTATGCTCATTGGCCATTTCCGGCCTGAGCCCTTCCTAACTGAGCATCTGGCTCCACCCCCTCCCAAACTCTTAAAGCTGCTCTCACCATGTAATTTCCAAATTCAGAGGCCACTTTTCAGTCCTCTACTCACTGGGCCTTTTGGCAGGACCTGGTATGCGACGTCACATGAGAGCATCCTAACCCCACACTCACCTGGGCCCTGGACAGTCTCCACACGGACCCCTGTGCCCAGGCTTGCTTTCCCTGGCCTCTGCTCACTCCACAGCTGATTTTTCAGGAATCCTAATCTGACTACATCTCTTCCATGTTTCATTTTCATCAGTGACACCCCATTTCTGCAGCACTCTCTCTTGCTCCTTGGCTTGGCACACAAAGGCCTTAAAAGTCCCGAGGCTCTGTAGGCTCATGGCCCCACCCCTGATCACACTCCCCCCACAGCTACTGCACGTCCTTGGGTTCTGTCCTTCCCCTGGTCTTTGCTCCTGCTGGCCCACCTTCCTGGAACACCCATCTCACTCCCATCTGCTACGCTGCTGCTCCTCCTCCCGGGTCACACTTGACATCCTGGCCCCAGGAAGGCTTCCTTGACCCCCAAGTCTGGGTTCTGGGCCCTTCATGTCTCCCAGAGCACCCTGTGCTTTTGCTCTTGCTCTTCTTCCCACTCTGTCCCCAGGAACTGGGTCTGTCTTATTTACCATCAGACCCTGCGGCCAGGCCTGGTGCCCACACAGCACGGTGCTCTAAAAACAGCTGCAGAACAAGTCAGTAAATGCCCTGGCCCCCTACTCAGGCTTGGCCCCACAAGGCAGTCACTACATTCTGCTGACAGGTGAGGAAGGCCAGTGACCACTCCCAACCCCCTCGCCAGGAGATGGGAAAGTAGAGTGTAGGCTCTGAGCTCCTCACCATGGTGGTCGCTTCCTCAGGGCTCTGGGTGGACAGAGACAGAGTCGGTCCCCTGGCGGGCACACTGTTGGCCTCCGCTTCCTCAGTGGTGCTGACGGGCACCTCGGCCTCCCCTGCTGCTGATGCTGCTAACTCCTGAAAACAGAGACATTACAAGAGATCGTATCCCTGGGCCTTCAGCCCCGAATGGTGCCATGGCTGGACAGAACAGACAGCACCCTGCTCTTCTGTGGTTTCTTCACCTCTAGGACCTTCCCATGTATGACTTCACCCTAGCCCCAGGGCAGTCCTAGAATCACAGCATTCAGGGAGACAAGAGACTGCTCCGGCTCCTATGTCCTAGGTTCGATTTCGAGAGTGCGTTTCACCTCCAGCAACGACGAGATCGCTGCTTCAGAGTCAACACGCTCCGGCTCTAGACACTGCCATCGAGACACCGGCTCCTTGTCACCTCGCCCTGTGCTCATCCAGAAGCCATAAGAATAAGGTCTGTGCTGAAGATGGTGCTTCAGAGACGGAGAGGCAGCTCTTCCATCCTCCTCCGCTTCTCCAGACAGGACACGCCTACTTCCTCTAGTTCCCGGTGACTCAGTTTCCTTTAGGAGCACCTCCAAGGGTTACCCACAAAATGGGAGAAATGGGGACAGACAGTCGCTCTGGCTGCTGCTGCCACCAAGCCACATTTCACCTCCATTTCCCGAGCCTTTGTTTTTTCAATGTTTTTGTTTGGTTTTGTGAAAAAGTAGTTCCTTTGGATACTAAAAACACTAGCTTGATCAAAGTTTGGCAGACCTCCTTGCTGCAGACCTTCGCACCTAGAAGAGGCCTAGAGAGTGGAGCGGCTCCTGAACGTCTTTAACCAGAGTCCTGTTCTCATGTACCCTGTTAGGTCCTTGCAGAGTTACTGTCCCCAAAACAGAGGAGAGATGATGTCGCAGGCTGTTAAAATGAGAGGCTTGCTCATTCATCAGCAGAGCAACGATGCTTCCACAGGCCTTAGGTAAGCTCCATGTGCTTAAAGATGCCAGGCAACTATGACAAGAGACAGCGGGATGACATCGGTTCTACCAGCTTCAGCCATCTCCTGCCTCCAGGCTATCTAAGAAAACGCAAAAAATCCATTCTCCATTCCGGGGTTTAGTGGCTGGAGAATAAGCATTCCTCTGGAGAGAACTTTCAGGTCCGAGGCTCCTCCCCTCCCCTCTCCCTACTCCAAACCATTTGGTGAGCTGGGTATATATTCTTTGGGATCCCAGAGACATAGGGACTGCTGGGGGCTTCTCTCCAGGGAAAGACCAAAGGTGAAAGCAGAGAGCCATCTAGAGCCAGAGTTGGGAGAGAGAAGAAGAGGGGGAAAGGGAGAAAGGAAAGGGGAGGAGAAGGGGAGAAGTGTGGGGGGAGGAGGAAGGGATGGCAATGTGTCCCACAGCTGTTGTACTGGACAGACGAGATTCAATCCCTCCAAAGGGGACTGGCAAAGGCCATCTTGCAGACCCTACCTATGAGGCCATCAGGGAATTGGGGAAACCAGCAGGTGTGGAAGCCCAGCAGAAGCTGAAAGGCCAACAACAGAATTACTGTCACAGTCCTCCTGTGCCAGGACCTCTGAGGAATCGCCAAAGCCCTCATGAGAGTAAGTGCCAACAACCAGGCGTCGCCCACACAGAAGACCCACTCACAATTTGCCTGGCCATGTATAACTATGCCCGTTCTCTAGCAGGCCAGACCCTGCAGATCTTAGTCACAGCTGCCAGGGCCAGCCCCGTGCACAGAAGTTGAGCGCTGTGCAGAAGGAACCAGAGCCCACATGGGAGACCGTGATTTGAATCCTGGTCCCAGTGGCTTGAAAAATGTGCCACGCATGTGAGAGAATGCCCAGGATCCTGAAAGGAAGGGAAATGGAGGAAAAAGGGTGAGGCAGGACCAGGCCCTGTCATGGGGGCGCTTCATCTCTCTCTCTTGTCCCCATTCACATGTGCACACAGTTGTGTACATGCACATGTATGTGTTCGCCGGTAAAAAGAAAAATAAAATAACTTTTTAAAAAGTTGCTATAAGGGAGGAGGAGACCATGGGAAATAGGGAGGAGAGAGGAGAACATAGAAAGGAACCCCCTAACCACACTTCCTGATCTGTAGCAGGCCTGCAAAATAGGGAGGAGAGAGGAGAACATAGAAAGGGACCTCCTAACCACACTTCCTGGTCTGTAGCAGGCCTGCGCATAGAAGGGGAAGAAAGTGTATTTGTATTTTTATTGAATTTTTGATATTATGCTGTCCTGGACTTTTAAAATACATGGGAAAATAGACTGCTGCTAGATAGTGAGTGGGAGAGTTGTGAAAACTCGGAGTTGTCCTCCCAGGAGAGGGGAAGGAATGAGCTGGCACTGTGGGTTTTAGCAGGCGCACTGTGAGAAAGCTATATATGCTTTGATTTTGCACCCTACCATATCCAGCCCTTCAAAAACTGACTATGCAGGAGTAAAAGCCAATTACCAAGCCACAGTGCAGACACACCTGCAGTTTAATCGGGCTCTGTCTGGAAGAAGGCTCCACGGGCTGATGAGGCTTTACATCATCACAATGGATGGGGGGAGGTGGTCATCGTGATGCGTATGAGGCATTTCACCAGGCAGGTGTGAGACGAGCTTGCCCTGCATCTTCCCCCACCCGTCCCAGAGCATCCCTAGAGCATCCGGAAACCTGGACCATCTGCTCTTCTGTACCACGAGGACAGCAGCCGCCTTCATGTCCTTTACTTCAAACTCTTGTTACTCTCCACAGTGCTCAATGGAAGTCACGATCTAGCTGATGTAAGCCAACACGGTCACTACTGACTTAACGAGGAATTTACCATTCACTCACCTTGTCTTCAGTGACATTAAGGAGGGCCCCGGACCCTGAGCCAACGTCAGTAACTGAGTCGCCATCCACAGTATGCACCCCGTCCAGTGTGTCATTCAGGATCTCTCCAGAACCTACGGGAAGCAAGGGTTCTGTGATTAATAATCATGATTTGCAGCGTTGCAAAAGAGTGAGGCATCTCCACCTATTCACTTGAAAAGATATTCCTAATACCATAATAGGGGATTACAAGGTCACAAAACCAAGTTGTAGAACAACCCTGTGGCAAGGTAGCATTGCGCAGGGGTTTCCACCACAGATCTGGCACCACCTGCTGGCCCGGTGTCTTGCTTTGCCATTTTCCAAGAACATGACTGATGGCAAGTTGCTCAGCCTGTGCTTCAAGTTCCTCACTTACCAATGGAGATCACAAATCTTACCTCACAGGGTTGCTTGTGTAAGCCTTTGCGTCACAAGGCCTCAATAAGAAAGCAAGAGAAACATCAAGGACAGCCCCTGGCATAGAGTAAGCAATCAGCAAGTGTTCCTTGTCGGTGTGGCACTAGCTTTGTAAAGCGGAAAAAGTCTGTATGAGCATACCGTGTTTTACCATTATTCTATACAATTATTACATAGCCTAGCCAGGCTATGTAATAATGATCACAAAACATATGTAACACTTCTCTGTGTGCACCTACATATTTATGTATATGCATGGCTAAACCACAATGCTTAATATTGGTTTCTTCCAGAGGACAGGCGTGGACTAAGAAGAGGTAACTAGTGTTAGGGGGATTCATATGACCAGGCATTGACTGAATTGTTACCACAGGCACACATTCCTTCCGCAGTTTAAAAAACAAACAGGGTTCTAAAGCAAAGAAAAAGAAACTACACCAACATGAATGCGTGGCTCTTGTGGGCTGGGCCCTTGCAAAGCAGGTCCCATGCACGCTGTCATTTAATCCTACAAGGATCGGTCCTGTCACCTCACTAGTGATGGGGAAAGCCGGGATGGGAACCCTATTTTTTCAATCTCTGCACTATCCTCCCCACCACATGTGTCCTGTCCTGATCGGCACTTTAACACCTTATTCAAGCCTACTGCAGAAGAAGATAAGATCCCAAATAGAGTAAGAGGCTGGGAAGCACCCTGAAGCCAAGACAGGCCCTTTCCACACAGTCTCTGCATGCCCCGAGGTCACAGTGTTGCAGAGCTGCGATCTCTCCGTAGGTTTCCACCCTCTCATGCAACCGGAGCTCTGGAACAACTCTGGGGAATGGTCCAGTCTGTTATCAGCCATACGCAGGCGTCCTCCCTGCTCCGACCACCAGGGGGTGCTGTGCAAGCGGCTGTGGGGACCCAGGCCTCAGAGTCCAGACCAAGCCAAGGAAGGACAGAGGTGGGCGTGGTCCGCTCCACGCCCGGAGACCGACTCAGGAAAGCTTGAATACCTCAGAAGGCTTTCCCCAGCCACTGGCCAGCGCGGGAGTACAGAGCCCTTTCTCTCCCCCCACTATCCGGGCTATCTACCCGATTAGAGGAAAACATTTCAGCCAATGACCGACCCCGGGAACACGTGAGTTCCTTGGGTCTGGGTCCCAGTCTCTGCTCGGTCTAGGAAAACAGTCGCGGCAGCCCCTTGGCCCCTGCCTTTGCTCAGAGACCTAATTCCCCCTGCCAGCAAATAAGGCTGAGCAGGGCTTCCGTCGGAATGCTGTCTCTCCACCTCCCTGCAGTCTTTCCATAGCAACACCTTGACTGGTTTTTTTCAGGGCTTTATTACAGTATTACACAACTTTTTCCGTCTAATATTGATGCCTTTTCTTCCTCACAGACCTTCCAAATTTAGTAGTTAAATAAACCACTGATAGAAGTGAGAAGTGTAACAGTAAATATGATTGAAGTCTTCTTAACTTCTCTATGACTTGATTTCCTCATCTTGTCTGTAAAATGAGGAAAATCTGTAAGATCATTTCTTCCTTAAAGGGATGAGGAAAGTTTAAATGAGATTTGGGTATTTCATACATGGCCCAGGCTGGCCACGAAGCATGACTCAGAAAGGGGCCTCTGGGTCTGAAGGGGCACCAGGACTCACCTTGTTCAGGGCTGTTGAGCTGGGCGATGCTTAAGTTGGTGGTCTCTGGGGTTCCCTCAGGTACAGGTTCACCAGAAAGCTCTGTGTCCCCAGAGAGCAAGGATGGAGCTGGGGGTGTGCTTATAGGTGCAACTTCTGCTTCTTTAGACTGACAGGAGAAAACAATTAGACCCAGATGATTTACTTGGCAGTAAAGGAGAAAAAATAGCAATGAATATTGCTGGAGAAAATAATATAGCCACTAAGTGCTCTACAAACCAGAAAACACCCAGACCTGCTTGCGGTGTACCTGGGCCCTCCCTGCACCTCCCGGGGCCTGAAAGAGGTGCAGGGTAAAGGCAACTTAATTCTGTTCAGTGTAGTGATACTCTGCTCACCTCAGCCAAAGCTCTTTGACCACAAGGCTCATACTTTTAAGCCCGCAGAGGGAGGTGCTCAGTAAAGCTGTTAGGTGGGGGAACGAATGACTGCATGAACAAATGAATGAGCGAGGTTGCACTCAGTAAACGCCATGCAGATCCAATCCCAGACGTGTCCAGGCGATGAATGCTCAGGATATGCTTTCCTTCCATAGGAACTTCACCATCTGTCTAGCTCTTCTTCCTAAGCCCATCAATGTCTTAACCAACTTTACCACGTGGGAAAAAAGAAACAAAAACCCAGAAGAGATCCAGACAAAAGAGCCTGGTGTCAGTCCCAAAGGTCATGGCATCACCCCCAGACTCACATAGAAACCCGTGAGACCCAGCAATTGTAGTCTCATACTTCTGAGCTCAAGGAGCTGGGAGAAAGGGGGACGTGAATGGAAGGGTCCTGCTGACTGTGCTGGATGTGTGGTGTGAACAAGAAGCAAATCTTTTGTTTTGTCAAACTGCTAAGATCTAAGGGTTAATTTGTCACTGCAGCATCGTGTATACAGCCTGACTAATAACAGAAGGTATTTTCTTAAGGTTAGAATCCGGCCTGTAAACAGTGAATCTCTGGCCCATCAGAATAAGAAGGATGCTTAGGAACTTCCTAATCTGGGATGCAGTCCAATTCCTACAGTCAGGTTTAAGTTAACTCCTTGTTCTTTGCCATGTGACGTTGGGCAAGTCCCATAACTGTCACTGAGCCTCAACTTCTTCCTCTGTAAAATGAAATAACTACTCAAAAGTAAAAAAAAAATACATGGAACCGGTCAACATGTGACTATTCCATATATATACTAAAAAAAAAACCCCAAAAAACAAAAAAAACCTGTAACTGCAGATGATCAAGAAGAGAATACAGTCACCCTGAGGCCAATGCTTAGAGAGAAGCACTGTGGATTGGACTATAAAATCTCCAGGGGGAGGCGGGAGAAAAGGCTTCAAGGAGTTGGGCCTGGAAGAATGAGCAGCGTCCAAAAACATGGATGGAGGGGAGGGATGATGGAGGTCAGGGCCTGACAAACTGAGCTTGGCCAGAGCCCAGGGTTTGAAAAGGAAAACAGCAGGACAGACCTGGGGAGGCAAAGAGAAGGAAGGACTAGTTCTTCGATGAGGCATAGGGGCTTAGACTGAAGGACAACAAACGGCCTCTGTGGGGTATCAGGCTGGAGAGCAGTGTGGTCAGCCGTGTACTTTGGAGAGTCCTTCCTGGTGGCGATGCGAGCAGGGACTGTGGGAGGCTGGCGTCTAGGCCAGAGACTGGGGATTGCACTGAAGTTCCTGAAGCAGGAATTAGGGCAGTGGTGGGAGCAGAGAGCAGGCACCAGAAGACGTGTGAAGAAGACCAGGGAGGACTCCCCCATTCCTCCCAGCTGGGCATTGACCCCTAGCACGGCCATAAAAGCTCATGTCCCAGGAAGGCCTGGATGAGGGGAAGAAGTGCTTGGGGAGTTTGGAGAACCATGAGAGTGCGGGTTTGGTGGAGAGAGAGGTCTGGCTGTGGGTCAGAATCACCTGCAGAACTTCTGTCAACACAGATTCTTGGACCTCGCTCCATACCTGAATCTGAATAGTGAATCTGAACGTCTACGTGTGCAGCCCAGGCAAGGATCTCTTTTTCTTTTTAAATCATTATTTATTACATTCTATTTATTATTATTATTCTCTTTAATTTGATCAGAGAGAGAGAGAAAGGGAAAGTGAGAAAACAAGTTGCCAGGTCCAGGACCAGCGCCCTAACTACTATACCACCTGCCAGCCCCAGACTAGAATCTTTTTTTAAGACTCTGAACATTGTCCTCTAACCTCCTCCTTCCACCACACACACACACACACACACGCACTGGAAAACTTGATGCACAAGAAAACAATTAGACCCAGATGATTTACTTGGCAGTAAAGGAGAAAAAATAGCAATGAATATTGCTGGAGAAAATAATATAGCCACTAAGTGCTCTACAAACCAGAAAACACCCAGACCTGCTTGCGGTGTACCTGGGCCCTCCCTGCACCTCCCGGGGCCTGAAAGAGGTGCAGGGTAAAGGCAACTTAATTCTGTTCAGTGTAGTGATACTCTGCTCACCTCAGCCAAAGCTCTTTGACCACAAGGCTCATACTTTTAAGCCCGCAGAGGGAGGTGCTCAGTAAAGCTGTTAGGTGGGGGAACGAATGACTGCATGAACAAATGAATGAGCGAGGTTGCACTCAGTAAACGCCATGCAGATCCAATCCCAGACGTGTCCAGGCGATGAATGCTCAGGATATGCTTTCCTTCCATAGGAACTTCACCATCTGTCTAGCTCTTCTTCCTAAGCCCATCAATGTCTTAACCAACTTTACCACGTGGGAAAAAAGAAACAAAAACCCAGAAGAGATCCAGACAAAAGAGCCTGGTGTCAGTCCCAAAGGTCATGGCATCACCCCCAGACTCACATAGAAACCCGTGAGACCCAGCAATTGTAGTCTCATACTTCTGAGCTCAAGGAGCTGGGAGAAAGGGGGACGTGAATGGAAGGGTCCTGCTGACTGTGCTGGATGTGTGGTGTGAACAAGAAGCAAATCTTTTGTTTTGTCAAACTGCTAAGATCTAAGGGTTAATTTGTCACTGCAGCATCGTGTATACAGCCTGACTAATAACAGAAGGTATTTTCTTAAGGTTAGAATCCGGCCTGTAAACAGTGAATCTCTGGCCCATCAGAATAAGAAGGATGCTTAGGAACTTCCTAATCTGGGATGCAGTCCAATTCCTACAGTCAGGTTTAAGTTAACTCCTTGTTCTTTGCCATGTGACGTTGGGCAAGTCCCATAACTGTCACTGAGCCTCAACTTCTTCCTCTGTAAAATGAAATAACTACTCAAAAGTAAAAAAAAAATACATGGAACCGGTCAACATGTGACTATTCCATATATATTACTAAAAAAAAACCCCAAAAAACAAAAAAAACCTGTAACTGCAGATGATCAAGAAGAGAATACAGTCACCCTGAGGCCAATGCTTAGAGAGAAGCACTGTGGATTGGACTATAAAATCTCCAGGGGGAGGCGGGAGAAAAGGCTTCAAGGAGTTGGGCCTGGAAGAATGAGCAGCGTCCAAAAACATGGATGGAGGGGAGGGATGATGGAGGTCAGGGCCTGACAAACTGAGCTTGGCCAGAGCCCAGGGTTTGAAAAGGAAAACAGCAGGACAGACCTGGGGAGGCAAAGAGAAGGAAGGACTAGTTCTTCGATGAGGCATAGGGGCTTAGACTGAAGGACAACAAACGGCCTCTGTGGGGTATCAGGCTGGAGAGCAGTGTGGTCAGCCGTGTACTTTGGAGAGTCCTTCCTGGTGGCGATGCGAGCAGGGACTGTGGGAGGCTGGCGTCTAGGCCAGAGACTGGGGATTGCACTGAAGTTCCTGAAGCAGGAATTAGGGCAGTGGTGGGAGCAGAGAGCAGGCACCAAAAGACGTGTGAAGAAGACCAGGGAGGACTCCCCCATTCCTCCCAGCTGGGCATTGACCCCTAGCACGGCCATAAAAGCTCATGTCCCAGGAAGGCCTGGATGAGGGGAAGAAGTGCTTGGGGAGTTTGGAGAACCATGAGAGTGCGGGTTTGGTGGAGAGAGAGGTCTGGCTGTGGGTCAGAATCACCTGCAGAACTTCTGTCAACACAGATTCTTGGACCTCGCTCCATACCTGAATCTGAATAGTGAATCTGAACGTCTACGTGTGCAGCCCAGGCAAGGATCTCTTTTTCTTTTTAAATCATTATTTATTACATTCTATTTATTATTATTATTCTCTTTAATTTGATCAGAGAGAGAGAGAAAGGGAAAGTGAGAAAACAAGTTGCCAGGTCCAGGACCAGCGCCCTAACTACTATACCACCTGCCAGCCCCAGACTAGAATCTTTTTTTAAGACTCTGAACATTGTCCTCTAACCTCCTCCTTCCACCACACACACACACACACACACACACTGGAAAACTTGATGCACAGCAGGACTGAGAACCACAGAGATGCTCATCCTAACTCAGGATAAGACAGAACTGTCTGGAAATGCAAAGATGTGTCAGCAGAAGCTGACTCCACATGACAGACAAGAATGGGGTAGGAGGGACTCAACCCTCCCCAGGGAGAAGGACGAGGAGGGGTGGCCTTTTAAGGTCCTGACTGCTCAGACAGTGTGCGATGCAGTTCACTGGTTACGCTTGTGTCTTAGAGGGTGGCAGGCTGGAAAGGCTGAGGATGGGGAAGTGAGATTCATTCCAATAAAGAAGCCAGACAGAGAAGGGAGGGGACTGTCTGAGATCAAGAGGGAAATTCTTCCACCCTGGAGCCCTTCCAGGAGATGATATTAGGGGGGTTGTCCCTGGCTAGAGTGGGGTCCTGAGAGCACCCTGGTAGGCTGGGGGTCTTCAGGCAAAGCTCTTCCCTGCTCTACACCTTAGTGCCCTCTTCTATAGGACAGATCCAGAAAACCTCCCTGCAAATGAGATGAATGCAAGCACTGGGGAGAGCGCAGACTGGGAATAGAAGGAGGAGCGCACATGGAAGGGATTCTGATGACTGGGAACACACAGATGAGCAGCAGCAGCAGCAGCTTCAGGACCTCCAGGTGCAGGGTCACCACCAAGAGAGACTTCTCTCAATGAATGAGGGCAGCCACAGAGGTTTGGCATGTTGTCATCCTTGGTCACCAGCGAGCCAGGAAGCAGGTGGCATGGAGGGGACTGCGGATACCACATTGTGTCCAGCACTGAGTCCAGCCCAGCTGGGCACTCTGAAGCACAATCTCCCTTACTACATCAAACCTGCTGGCCAGTGGTAACCATGGAACCATTAGAATAGTATCAATAATAAACCTATAGGTGAACAACTACAATACCAACAAGCAACAGTTAGGGGACGGGAGGTGCAGCAAGGAAACAAAACACTGTGAGATGATCCCACATAGGGAAGCTCCTGGTTCAAGACCAGAGACCTCTCTTAGTACACAGGGAATGTGCTGCCTGTGATCTGGGCCTGGTTGAGGCTGGGGGGCAGACTGCTGCATTGGGACTCTGTTGGGAGTACTCTTAGTTCATGGAAGAAATAAATAAATAAGCTTTAAACAGAAGAAGCAGGCCTGCCCCATGGCCTGGTAGTTAAGGAAGCTAGATCCCACATGGCTGACCATGGCTTGAATGGCGGCCCTGATGGCTTAGAAAATATGCCAGGGCAAGTGTGCATGTGAGCCCCAAAATCCCAGTAGGATGGAGAGATGGAGGCAAAGGGATCACAGCACGACCATGCCCCATTGGGGGGGCTTTCTTCTTCCCCCACATCTCTCTCTGGTGAGCACACGTCCTCTGGCAATTAAGAATAATAATAAATGCAGTATTCACTGCTAGCTGCTGTGTGCCAAGCACTCTCCAAGCATTTCACGTGGTCGGTTCATCTCACTCTCTCACTAACCCTACGAAGTTTTTTCCTAGTTCAGCAGAGGAGGAAGCTGAGACATGGAGAGGTTAAGCTACTTGCTCAAGGTCAGTGGCTCACACTTGGTGGGACTCCAGTCTGTACCCGTTCTCTCAAGGCCATGGAGAAGAGTGGGGCTGGGGAATCTGGGAAAGAAATTGTTCTGGGTGTCCCACAGGCCACCAAGTCTATCAGCTCCCCAAAACTTTTTTTTTTTTTTTTCACTTCTCCAGATCCTCTCGGGATTTACATCCTACCCCTTCTCAGCTGGACGTGTCCTGCATCTGCCCCTGCCCCTGCAGTGCCCTGGTCCTGAGGAGAGGGCCCAGGCTGGGGAACCAGTCAGGCCAGGCCTCACAGTCCTGACTCCACCATGATGTACCCTCCTGGGCAGCCCTTTCCATATCCGGTGTCACCCCCATCCCCGCAGCGGGGTGCCAAGGATAAGCGAAGTCAGTTTACAAAGCACCAGGCACCCAGCGGCTGTTGGGAAATGCCAGTTCTCTTCCTTCCCACTGCCTCCCAGTGTGCAGCTCCCCAGCCTCTCTCAGTCCTGGGATTGTCTTATACTCAAACTCCACTCTGCTTTCCTGTCCCTCTCTCAGGTCCACTGGGCGTGTCAGCATCTCTCTCTGAGTTGGTCTTGTTCAGAGTGTGACCTGGTGCACTGGGGTGGGCGTGGGCGCAGCATCAGGCTCGAAGGCCCTAGGGACCACCACTCTGAGCCCTGCTGCCCCCCACACAAGACAAGCTGGCAGGGTGGCCGAGGGCTGATGGACACGCAGGACTGTAGCACTGCCCAGAGCAGTCCCCTTCCCCACTCGCCTTGGACCCCTGACTTCCTCCATCTCAGCTGTCCAAAAGCCAGCTGTGGTTCAAGGATGGACTTCTGCAACACCACCCAGGCCATGAACCCATGGGTGGGCATCAGGAAACCAGTGTTGTAGTCACCGCTCTGGCTGTGAACCCTTGGGCCAGTCTCTGCCCTTCTCTGAGCCTCAGTTTGCTCATCCACACAAAGAGCAGTTTTCTATACAACGCTGTTCAGAAACAGGTGACTTTCAAGTCCTTCCAGTGTTAACAGACTGTGACCCTGTGCTGCCACCCCCACAGCTCTGTGGCCCAAAGTCTGTAATTCACAGTACCTGCCTTTTTTCCACCTCCCTGCTTTCTTCTATCAGACATGAGTTTCCAGAGAGAGCCAGACCAAGCAAGAAGATTGCTGGAGCTTTTCTGGGCTCAGTGACTCAGACATTGCTTGCTGTTTTCATTAAAATGGGCTGCTCAGTGTCCCCACAGTCTGATTCAGTGCTTTCAGTCACTTCCTCGCCTGGACCACAGGGCACATTTCCAGGAGTGGGGACGCCAAGCCACTGGAAAGAAAGCTGCCTTTCCCACGGGACCAGAAGCACGCTCCTGGGAGGACTTAGCACCACCGGGTGGGAGCCTTGACTCTGCCCTCACAGCTGGAGCCTGAGCAAATGTCACGAAAGCCACGCCCAGGGCCATGTTCCTCCTGTCAGGCACTGGGATGAGACTTGTCTCTGCACTGGCTCCACTAACCCCCGCAGCAAGCCTGCGGGACAGGACTGTTACTACTGCCACTCTGGGGAACAGGGGCTGAACTCAGAGAGGCTGAGAAAATGACCCACTCACAGGGTTTGCCTTCAGGCAGCCCCCTCATGGCCACAAGCTCAGGGTGGCACCTGGGTAACTGGTATTCCAGTTCACCTGGGGATTTTGCAAAATGCTCATTGGTCAGTATTCTCCTGGCCTCCTCAGACAAAGCAGTGATTAAATTCACAGCTCTGGAAACAGAGAAGGCAGACCTGTGGCTCTGGGCATCCTCCAGTGATTCTCGCCCCTCTAAAAGCTGCCCAAGACTGCACAGCACAGGACCCCAGTACTCACCGGGGCCTGAGTGTAGGTGATGGCTTCGAGGATCTCAGCTACTTCGTCTGGCTCCTGCAGCCCGCTGGTCTCTCCTGAAGCCTGTGTTGAGACAGGCGGAGGGGAGCAGATTACAAAGAGCCTGACAATGGGAGGATCATAGAAACTGACACACAGACTCCTGTAGAGGGACCGTGTGCGTGTGTGTGTGTGACAGAGACCAGCATATGTGCAATATGTATGGTGGCTTATTCTTTGTGTTTCTTCCACATGTTATTGCTCAAACAAAAAATGCAAGATCACTTCACAGTCTCTCTGTTTATTCTGTCCAGGTTCCCTTCTCTCTCCTGTGCAAGACTGTCACTGCACGTCTACGACGAGAACCACCACGTGGAAGAGTGACTAACTCAATAATTGCGGCCTTCAGGGAGGCCGGGAAGCCAGTGGCTCTGATTTCGTAACCAGTCCCTTGTTCTTGGACTCTCGGATTGTTCCCGCTTTCCGTGTTGAGGACAATGCGGAGATGATTGCGTGAGGCCATGTCAGGTTTCCCTTCCTTCAGCCTCACATGAATGCCAGGCTGGGCTCTCAGGCTCCAGGAGCGCAAACCTTCTTACAGAGCCAAATCCCACATCTGAGGGGCTTGAGGGCTTTCTGATGGAATTGACAGTATTTTTTTTTTTTACCAAGTTAATAAAATCAACTTACGTTTTGTTTGGGGGTCGACACCACCCAGAGAGCAACAGAAGGACTGCGCCCCGCCGTGTGCCTCTGTGACGTGCATGGGGCTGTCCCTTCTCCCTGGGGGCCTTTTCTCCATCTGCCTGGCACAGCTGGCCATGGCACAAGCATCAGCTTCTCCCTGACTTGCTTCATGCTCCCTTCTCCCCCTCCTCTTCCACCTGACCCACTGAGTCTGGGTTTGAGGGGCTCCCCGTGTTTGGAGCACGCTCAGCTCTGTCACTAACTTGGGTATGCAAGCCTGCATGAACAGCTCGGATGGGGACAGTTCCCAGCGTATGCCTTTCTAGCATCTACCCAGGGCTGTCACCTAGCAGGTGCTCAGCAAATCCTCAGGGAAGGGAGGGAAAAGTGAAGGAGGGAAGAAGGGAGGAAGGGAAGAAAAGTCTTTTATTCCTGCCTACCACCCCATCCCCAACTTAGGAATGAATTCACTTGCCAAGCACAAAAGCTAAATTTAGGTTGCTTCTTACAGGAATTTACACCCAGACTATCTTAAAGTTTTAACTTTGATTTTAGAATCCTGGCACCCTTTCTTGGCAGGAGGGCTGGCAGCCAGGCCATTGACTGCCGCAGCCCCAGAAGAACTTCACACCTTATAAGAAACACAACCTCCCACACCAAAGAGGTGGCTGAAGTCCTTTGAAAAGCAAAATAAAGCCAAAAGCCCAAAATAGGACTTGAGGCAGCACTTGCCAGGGTGAGTACTTGCAGAGGCTCTGTGACGTCAGAGGTGAGGAATTGCTGGTACCAGACCTTCCCTAGCCCACTGTGTTTTGGGGGGTGCTCACCGAGGACTCTTCAGCCTCACACAGCTCCTCAGGAGTCCTGGGGTCTGGGTGGATGGTGAGCTGCTGGATGGAGCCCTGGGGAAAAGCAGAGGGACCAGAAGTCACGGTGTGCACGTCCCTGGCATGAGTGCCAGTGGAAACCATGACTGTGGCCGAGAAGGACTGAAAGGACAGGATGGGTGTGAGAATGTGAGCCTGTGGTGGAGCCGAGGAAGCCCAGCCATCTCCTGGCCCACTCAGTTGCAGGGGGCTCTCCTTGGACCAGCATCTACAAACCCCCTTAGCCGGAGCAGGCTTCCAAGAGCTCTGTCTCCAGTGTGGACAGCCACAGCAGCCTGTCTGTCAGCGGCAGCCTTCTCCTCCTTCCCCCTCCCTTTTCCCCATCTCCCAGAAAGCCTTCCATCCCACCAGCCCCAAAACCCCCATTGCTCCAAGCTTCTGGCTAGAGGCTCTGTCTCCACACTTGACAGCTTACTCTATGAGGCTCCCAAAGTGAGCATTTAAAAATCATCCAACATAGGGCCAGATGGTGACACACCAGTAACACGACTGGACCCACATACAAAGGTGCCGGGTTCGTGTCCCAGGATGTCCCTATAGAGATCAGGCCTATGGCCAGGGATGGATCATGGCACAAGGACCCTGTGCCTCTCACTCTCTCATGGAAAAAGGAAACACATTTTTAAAAGCTGCCTAACAGGTTTTAGCTTCTTAAAATTCTCCTGCATTTTCCACAATACTACAAATAACCACTCCCCTGGTCCTGTCTTATTCACCAAGGAGAAATCAGTACATACATGTGCTACCACAGTGAATATCCAGAATTAATTCAGCAATTTGCTTTAGAATGGCTTCATCGTTGAAGCCTATTTTGATAAGAAAGTCAATTTTCTGGTATTTTTGTCAGGGCGCAATGTCCAAAAAGCAGAGGGAGAAACTCCCTCTCACTCTGGTCTTCTGGCTTATTCCCCTTTCGCAGGGATGACTTAAGGGCAAGAAACTCCCTCTCACTCTGGTCTTCTGGCTTATTCCACTTTCGCAGGAATGACTTAAGTGCAACCGGCACCATATCCAAAAGTAACATCATTTAAGGATATCACACACCTTACTATTTTTACAGTGCCTTGAAATGTACAAAGTGCTTTCACTCAGGTTATCTCACTTGACTTTATAAGCCTGTGACGGTGTTTTCCTTTCCCCACACAGGATAAGAACATAGAGAAAAAATCAGAGAATCCCAGTACTGTCTAGTGAGGAGGCTATGTGGAAACCTGAGGACTGGAATGTAGGTTCCAGGTTCCAAGCCTAGTGATCTTGCCACCATCACCTGTGTGCCTCTCTGAGAACCTGAGAATAAAAGAGTAACCATAATATCAGGTCGCCAGGAGAGTCATGACATATTTTTCCATGCAAAATGTGTCATGACTTTCCTGACGACCCAGTAGTGGCTTATGTTCATTGCATGGCGAGTCTATGTCCATCAGCCTCCGACATTGACTCACAATGAATCTCTCCAGCCCCGTGGCTCCAGCATTGCCCACGAAGATTCCTGCACTGGGCTCAAAAGCCAGGGCCTGGGGGGACCGCTGGAAGAGGATGTGGCTGTGCTCCTCGCAGTCCATGAAGAGGGTCACGTCTTCACCCTGGACGATCACGGCAAAGCGGTTCCACCTGTGGGTCATTACGGGCAAGGAGAAGGCGGCAGCCTCGTGGGACACCTGGGAGCCGGGCTCTGTGTAGTAGAGGATGACTCGCTGGTGGCCGTCCTCCACACCCGAGAGCCGCAGGCCCAGGTAGATGATCTTCTGGAAGGCATCAGTAATAGCAAAGAGCACGCCCCCCTGGGTGCTGGCAGGCTTCACTGTGACACTGATGGCGAAGTCCCTGAAGAAGGTGGAGGGGATGAGAGTCCTGGCCGGGCGGCCCACATTGGCACCAGGCCCGAAGCTGTAGGCTGGGAAGCCACCATAGCCTGTGACAAAGGACACGGACGAGGGCAGCGGGACACCGATGAGCTCTGTGAGGTCCAGATGGCCCTGGGAGACCGACTCTGTAGAGAGGAAAAGAGAAGCCATGCTTCACATGTATGTCCTATTACGCTCAGAGGTGAGGGAGCAGCAGTCCGCACTGAAACAGAACCCCACCGAAACTGTGGTTTCTAAGCTGTTGTTCAGACTCTTTGACAATGACCCACAATAACACATACATTTACATGGGAACCCAATCTACACATGGTAGATAAATGTATATCTGTACACAAAAACAAATGTTTCATAAAACGCAATTAACATTTAATACTCGTCAGGCACAAGAATACTTTCCTTTCCCTTTAATTATTCTTCTCCTTTGTTTTATTAAAAACATGCTGGAAATGGCCTCCGAAACTGATTTCATGACCCCCTAATGGGTTATGACCTGCAGTTTGGAAAGCATTTACCAAAAAATCCTGAGAATATTCTACGAATATAAAATGTTCCTCCAGCAACTTGGAGATTTCCCCACACACACTATAAAACTTGATAGGTTTGTTTTGCTTTGCTTTGCTTTGTTTTGTTTTGTTTTGCATGAGGTCTACAGTTAAAGTGCCTCAGGGTGTATGTGTGTGTGTGTGTGTTTGTGGGGCACAAAGTCAAGTGCTCCCAGACCTCAAGACAATTGAGATTTGCGTCATCGTCCCCATCCTCTGTCATCATCATCTTCATTGTCCTCACCCACATTCCTTGAGCTCTCACTGGGTACCAGGCACTGCTCCAAGCTCTCCACGTATGTTAGCGCAATGACCCCACAGGTCAGGGGCTATTATCTCCATTTCACTTCTGAGAACACTGAGGCTTAGACAAGTTGACATACTTGCTCAAGGTAAGTTTCATCCAGGTTTCAAATCCAGAGCATCTGACCCCAAAGTCTGACTTCTAACCTCCATACCTTGAAGATGGAAAAGATCGAGCTCCCCTATGATAGCCCAAAAGGGAGCCCAGGCTCCATCCAACCACTGTTCCCCAGGAGAAGGTTGCAAGCTGCTTGCAGAGACATACACCCACCCTTGATGTACTGGTCTGAGTTAACAGCAGTCCTGGGGGTAAGGTGGGGATGGACAAGCCCACAACAGTCAGGACGAGAGCCAAGAAATGCTTTGACCTTGGAAATGCAGCCAGATCCAGAGGATTCAGCCAGGTGAGGAGGTCTGGAATAAGTGAGGATCAGAACCAAGCAGGGTCCTCCTCCAGTGGCAGGGGGGCAGGGCAGTCTCACCGGGTGATTGCTGGGCTACAGCTGAAGGCCAGAGGTCCCTGAGACCCTGAGTGGCCTTGGGATTTGGCGAGTTGGTCTCCAGAAATGACTCAAACCTTTCAAGGGCACCTCCAAGTCAAGTCCTACATGAGGAACCAAGCCTGTTTTCCAGTTTACCCAAATTGCCACCATCTAACCAGATACACCAATGAGCTGTGAGACCTTAGCTAAGACTTAACCACTCCAAGGCAATGTCTTCCTCTACCATCTGGGGCAATAATATGGAATCCAAAGCAATGATTGAGACCACTCAAGGAAATCCCCTGCCGGTAATGGTAGTAATGCAACAACACTCGCTAAACTATTTTCACTACATCCACTCAACAACCCCAAGAGCTCAATGGGCAGGAATTACTGCCCCCACGGTGCTGATGAGGACAATGAGGCAGATATGGGGGTCTATCTCTGAGCTTTTGAGTGCCCAATAAAGAATAATGACAACTGTGCTCCTAACGCATGACTTCATAGTCCTCACAGTGGCCTTGGGAATTAACTACTCTCATTCCATTTTGCAGATGAAGAACTGAGTTTAGGACAATATGACAACTGGCCTGAGTCTACACAGCTGGTAAGTGGCAGATATTTCTGAGCCATGTGTGGGTGGGTGTGTGTTAGTGAAAGAGAAAGAGAGAGAAGCAGAGATAAAATTATTATGAAACATTTAGGTCGTACAACAAAGTATAAAGACGGGGGTCAGCAAATGATGTGGTGGTTGAGGTGCTGGACTCCCACATGGCTGACCACAGTTTAAGTCACAGACCCAGAGGCTTGAAATTCATGCCGGGCGCGTGTGCATGAGTGCCCAAAATCTCAGGAGGAAAATGCGGGATAAGGGATTAAACCGTGGCCATCCCCCCCCCCCCGACGGGGGTGATTTCTCACCTTTTCTCTCTGTCTCTCCAGTGAGCATTCATGCCCTATAGCAAGCATGTTTCTCAGAAAATATATGTAGATAAAAGCTAATATAAGGCACTTAAAATTGGTTAAAATGGCAACCCTTTTCTTTACTTAGTTTTCTTTCTAATTTATTTATTTAGTTTTTAAACTTATTTATTTACATTCATTCACTGTACATCAATACAGTATACAAAATGAGATTTTTCCATCCAGAATACACTGTATATTGGCTCAATCAAGGATATTACCATATGTGTTGTGGTCAAGAAATAATTTTCCATTTCTTATTTCTTACACATTTTGCCCCCCCCTTTATTCCCTACCTCTTCCCCTCTGCTATTTCCCACCCTTCTCCCACACTGTCTCTGGTATCTACAGTTGTTTTCCATGAAAATGGCAACTTTTATGTATATTTTACCACAAGAAACAAACAAATAATTAGCCCATAGGGTTATTATGAGGATAACAGATAATATAAGGTGCTGGCATATGGCAAATGCTCAGTAAATGGTGGCTATTTTTTTCTTTTTTGGGGGAGAGGGTTTTTTGTTGTTGTTTGTTTGTTTGTTTGTTTGTTTTGCTATAGGGTGTGAGCACTCACCAGACAGACAGAGAGAGACAGAGAGACAGAAAGCAAGAAAGAAAGCACTGACCCCCCGTCTTTATACTTTTTTGTACAACCTAAATGTTTCATAATAATTTTATCTCTGCTTCTCTCTCTTTCTCTTTCACTAACACACACTCCAGGGGGGATGGCCATGTCACAATCCCTTCTCCTCCATTCTCCTCTCAGGATCTTGGGCACGCACACACTCGCACCCAGCATGAGTTTAAGCCACCGGGTCCAGGACTCGAACCACAATCAACTACGTGGGAGTCCAGCAACATAGTCATTACACTAACTGCTGGTCCCAATGGTGGCTATTCTTAATATCATCATCGTGGACTTTCAGATTCAGAAAGGAATCTCAGAGTCACCTGATACAGTCCTCGATGTAAGATGGGTTAACTCTGCCCCGCCCAGCGTGGTAGCCACCAGTCATACGCAGTGACCAAGCACTAGCAGTGTGGGTCTCCCCAGTTGATATGTGCCATAAGAGTAAAATACAAACTGGATTTCAAAGACTTCATTTGGGAAAAGGCATATAAAATAGCTTATTAATCACTTTTATACCGAAGGGGCCAGAGGTGGCGTAGCAGTAAAATGCAATGCTCCGCGAGGCTGACCCACACGGGAAGGTTCCAGGTCTGCATCCAGAGACCTCCCTGAGTACGTTGGGCACTGTGTGCCAGACCTGTGGCCCAGGGCTGGTTGGGGCTGAAGTGGACTGCGACATCAAGACTCTACTGGAGCTGCTGTCTCTGTCTACTTCCTCTCTCATTCATGGAAGAAAGAAAGAAAGGAATTTTAAAAATAATTTTTATATTCCCTGTTGAAATCATCTTAGAAAATAATGATTCAATAAAATACTGTATTAAACTTTTTTTCAGGCAGGTGGTAGGGCACTGCTGTGTGATCCTGGAACCCTATGCAAAGAACATAGGTTCAGATCCAGGGTCAACTGAACATACCAGGTGCACCTGTAATCCTGGCTGACTGGACGGCTGGGGGGAGGATCATGGCAGGGTGAGACCCTGAGAGAGTACTTATCTCTTTCTCACACAAAAGTAATAAAGTTAAAACATTTTTAAAAGAATAGGAGAAACAAGTATATAACTAACACTCCACTTAAGAAAGAAAATGGAGGGACCAGCAGATGGGGTAATGGTTACAACGCTGGACTCCCACATGGCTAACCATGGTTCGAGTCCCAGAGCCAGAGGCTTGAAACTCATGCTGGGCATGTGTGTGTGTGTGCCCAAAACCCCGAGAGAAGAATGAAGAAGAAGGGATTGTGGTGTGGTTATTACCCTCACCGGGTGGGTGGGGGGGTGTTATTTCTCATTTTCTGTCTCTCTGTCTCTCTCTGTCTCTCCGGTGTGCGCACACACCCTATAGTGAAAAATCTCTCTTAAGAGAAAGAAAATGGATATTTCAGCTGATGCTGAAGTGCTCATGAACACTCTCCAATCCTATCCCTCTGCCCACATCCAGGGGGAGCTGTTCCTGGGAACCTGGTGTTTATCATTCTCACACATTCGTTGGTATGGTTACTACCCAGACGCACAATGGCTGCGCATGTTTCTAAACCTCATACAAACGTCGGCATGCTGCATGTGTTCTGGCACTTGTCCCCTACCCCAAAGCTGTATTTTTTTTTTAGAATTATCCTTGTTGATACATGTGGCTCAGCTCTTCCATTTCACAAAAGTACCCATGGTATGAATAACCCGTAACGAGTTAGTCCACTTTTCCGTTGAGGAAGCTGAGGTTTCCCTCCCCATGGCAAACAGTGCTGCTGTGGACTCCCTTACACATGTCTCCTGGTGCTTACCCGTGTAGGTAATTCCTGGAGGTGGACTCACTGGGTGACAAGGATGTGTGCACCTGCAACTTCCCTGAATGTTACTGAACTGTCCCCTGAAGCAGGTGTGCCGTGTGATACGCCCACCTGCAGTGTCTTCTGCCCTCATTCCAGGAGGCAGACACATGCCATTTGGGCCTTTCCAAGTATAGTGATAATGTCTATTTAAAAAAAATTTTTTTGAGAGGTTTTTGCTATAGGGCGTGTGCGCTCGCCAGACAGACAGAAAGAGACAGAGAGACAGAAAGCGAGAAATCACCCCCCAGGGGGGATGGTCACACCACAATCCCTTCTCCTCCATTCTCCTCTTGGGATCTTGGGCACGCATGCACACGCGCCCGGCGTGAGTTTAAGCCACCGGGTCCGGGACTCGAACTGTGGTCGACTATGTGGGAGT